GCGAGTCGTGGATTCTTTGTGCCAGCGAGTACTCTCGTAGTTATACTTTTCATCTACATGTTCTTCTCTCCAAGGGTTTTCCTACTACACCCTGGGATTAGTCCCTCTTGGTAATCACCCTATTCTGTCCTGTTTCCAGGTAAACACCGGGCAATGTTGGTATTTTCCCAGGGTGTAACACAAAAATCCTTAGATCCTCGTTGAGTTCCAGAAACGCCGTTGCATCTCCAGTCTCGCCTTGCCCGAGGCTTTTGCACATGCGGCTCGAATTCAACTGCATCGACCATGGATCCGATACCTGGCCAGTGGACTGCGAAGGGGAATGCTTGCTTGGGACATGGTCCTTCTAAAACCACCAAAAAGGGATACCAACTACAAAAGAAGACGAGCCACGTACCCAACTCAAACGGGCCCTGGAGAATTGTTGGGGCCCATGGCGTTGATTTTGAAAGGAAAACTGCATCGTTACAAAGCATGGGGGAACGCTTCATACTTGCAAAAGCTTCGCTACGACCCGGTACCGTCCGCTCGCCGAAGATAAGAAGTTGTAGTACTCACGGAAGCGAAAACAAACTTCAAACCCATTTCTCAATCCGGGAAAGCGACGCGGAAGCGATTCACCCTTCAAAGCCTCTCGCGAAAGAGACCTTTCATGCCGCTCATGCTCGGCGGAAGCCTTCGCGGAAGGAATTTGATAATTCTCTTCGGCCTCAACTGGGTTTGGAACACTGCTCACATTGCCTATTTGGGAGACAAGGCTTTTTTTGGCAGGGGACAATTCTAGGGGGTCTCTCCAACACAACCCATCCCTCGGCAGATTCCGCAAACCTGCCTAGGGGGGTCCTTCACACTTGAGGCCAGGAATTGTTGAGCCTGAGTTTCTTTGATTTAAGAAGCTTGACGGAAGCTGCTAGCCGAAGTTTTGTGCTCGACTTTCTCCTACGTAGCCTTCGCCGCCAGTGTGGATTGGAGGTGTCCGAGTAGCTGAGATCGGGTATAGAACATGTGGCGCTTGGTCTAAGGCAAAGCTTGGTGGGCAATAGCTGCACTAGCGCTTGCGTCCCAAGCATGTGTAGACATGAGGTAAGAGTCTGGTTCTATCACGCGGCTGCAGTCATTTGCTGAGTTTGTTGCGGTATAGCAGGGATGGGCTTTCTCTTGGCGGGGTTTTCCACTCCCAAAACGTGGGTTTTAAGTCGAACGATTGCCTACCCATGTGCTTGTTTATGGATCGGCCAGGGCTCCCTATGTTCTCCCCTGAAACCTCGAGGAAACTTATAAGCTTGGGAAGACCATGTATGTGGCAAATCAACGGGTCGAGACGAGACTCTTTGGCCAACTGGTTCAGAGTGAGCCACGTGCCTATGGGAGCTCAGCTGAGGAGCGAGATCGATGAGAAGTGCCTGCCACCTGAGGCGAGGCATCAGGTGAGCGGACTGACCTTTTAGTTGCCCCGTTCCATGGGCTTGACGCGCTTGTGTGGGAGCTACAACATGTGGCTGTGGTTGCCAAAGCCAATGGGATCCCATTTGGGGTAGGTGAATTCACCACCCATTTTAGAACCTATTTTTAGTGGGGATTGGGATGTTCGCGGGGGGTACGGGATTTTGACCCATGGCCATATATTCCACTAGTGTAACTTTAGCAAGTCCATGGGTTAAACGCTCACTCCCCGCTGAAAGAGTTGGGGTTGATTGGTCATTGTACGCTTGAGTTCATACTTGTTTGGGAAGCAGACAAATACGCTGAGTCAAAAGTAACAGTTCCAATATTGTTCAAGTATGGAACCTCCCAATCCACAATGAAGCCAAAGTGAAACATTCAACGCGTTTCAGGCCAACTCAAACCATGCAGGATGCAGATCTCCAATCCAGATCCCAACCATTCCAAAACCAAACCGTATCGTCCGTCTTGTGCGTATTTTGCCCTGTGGTATCAAAATCGGTGCACCTCAACAATGGTGACATTTCTTTGATTTCCCCTGATGCAAGCGCGCACACATATACCATGGCACACCCACACACAGGCACCCGCACCAGCACCAGCATCCGCACACGCACGCATTTTGCAGGTCAGGGAGGACAACATCTTCATGACGACCCCCAGGTTATCCTGCAGCTTGGCGGAGATTCGCAGGGCAAGCTTCCACTTTGTTTCCGAGTATATTGGCTTGGTTCACGAGCTAAACATAAGAGGGTGATTTTCTTCAACCTGCCATATTGGGGTGAAATTGAAACGACCCTCTTTTGAATGGAAGTGGGCAGAGACCAGCGCATCATCAAAGCCCCCCCAATCCAAGTTCGCAGTTGTTGGAAAGAGGGTTCGGGCACTCACCGAGATCAAGAGCTTGAAAGCTCATGGGCTTTTCACCTGGCTGCAGACTGGTCCTTCGAATTGGGGGGAAATCAAGTGTCAGGTTGGCACTTGCACCCACCAAATAATGCTCACTTGGCGATTGGCATGTTTTTTCCACCAACCATCCGAGATGCGAATGTGGCATTGGCATTCAGAAGGGCCACAGCATGAAGCCCCTCAGGTGGCTGTTTTATTCTTAAGCAGATCGCCAGGATCTTTTGGTGGTTTGGATTGGTGCTTTGAACCCTTGGTTTTTGTAGCGGTAAATGGGAAACCACCCTCAAACCTCCAAACCACTAATTAGAGGGAGCTGAAATGAAGCAAGCAAGACATCCGTTCGTGCAAACCCCGGTGATGCATTGCAGTTGCATCGTCGGTTTTGTCGTAAGCCAGGGCGCGAGGAGAACAAAGAGAAGGAGCTGTGCGACTTGTATCTTGGCATGGGTGAGCTGGACTCTTTGTCATGTATGGGAACTCGGGCTGACCCCATCCGAAAGACTGGTGGACAGAGGATGTTGAGCAGCTGCGTCGCATATAGCAGGGTGCAAAAGGCAGCTGCTTCGGTTTTATTTTAGACAAGATGCTTACAGAGACCAGCAGTAGCTGACAGATTAGCGGGTCAGAATCCCTTTTTAGGGACCCTACCTGTTTGACTTCTGGCGAGGCAAAGCAAGCTCACCATGTGTCGGACCCTTTGGCAGTTTCAGAGGTTTGGTGCTTGTGGGCTCTTGGAAGGGTCAGTTGCTCGTGTTGCCACATCACGGAACTCTTGCTGTTTGGTTGGGGCATTTTGGGCTGGCCAACGTCAAAATGCAGCATGGGTTGCTTGCAACTGGATTCAGAGAACCCCACTTTGAAACAGCTAGTCTTGCGCAGTTTTCACCTGGCGGCACACCACTCTCATGTGTTGAGAGTCCGGAGTCATCAAATCAATGCTCACCTGCATGCGGGCGCCTCCTAAAAATAAGTAAGTGGACCAGCATGCGATTCGCCATGTCATGGTTCGTTTGCACAAGGTGCGCAGGACACGCCCACTTGTGCATTACTTCCCACCTGAGGCATCTCAGCGAGACACAGACCTTCCTACCGGAAAAGGACGCGGTTCGATTTCGCTCGTTTGGACTCAGCCATGTGATGCTGCTTTAAGCCAAGGTTGCAGCTTCCGGTAGAAAAAAAAGCCTCGCGGTATTGTTTCTTTTGGTGGTTAGGATCCCAACCCCCTGTAAGGGCGAGGCGATCAAGGGCAAGAGGGGTTGAGTGCAAAAGCGCTTGGGTCAAAAACACAGAAACGATTTCGTCAGCTCTCCCCCGTAGTTCCTCTTGTCGTGGCTTTAAACTGGTGTGAAGAAGAACAGCTGAGTCGTAATCAAAACACAGGTAGATGAAGGTTAATTCTTGTACCGGATTTTGATTATGACTCACCTGTTGATCAGCGGGTTTAACGGTCTGTGCAGTCTAGGTGAGGTGCTGTGAGGCTTGCACCGGTTCGGGTTGCTTAGGACCAGCAGTCTGACTCATGACCCATTAGTTGCCTCTGGCGTTCCCAGCTTCTACGAAAACACCTCCCTGTTGGGAGACATTCAGGTGCAACTCATGGCCTGATTTGGCTTCGGAATTCCGCGACCGGAAGCAAACTGCAGAAATCTGCAGCTTCTTGAGTGGATCCCTGCTCCAGATCATTGGGGCATATGGTACACAAAAAGTTAGAACTTGTTCTGGCCAGTCACCTTTGTGTCCTTGTGGTTTTCCTTCTAAGCCACCATCCAGCTCGGGATCTGTGAGAAATGGACCCAGGTGTTGCTCAACCTTGGGAGAGTCAAAACAACGAAGCCCGCGAAGGGGGTCGTCCAAGAGGAGATTCCTCTACAAATGATATGTTTTGGGTTCTAGGTTAATCCGCAGTGTATTTGTTGACTCCCGAAATTTAGCTTTTCAGGGGGTGCAACTAAGGCGCCGACGATGGATTCGCAGAGCTTGGTGCTTCATACTTAGGGACCTCGGACAGGTGGTTCTGTCGGATCCTCAAGGGACCCGGTCCCTAGTTTTGGGCAACACCGAGATCAAGCTCGGGAGAAAGTGTCAAGGTCTGCTGGAGCCCAAACCTGGCGCTGGGGACAGTTGCCATCCTCCTAGTTTTGAGGCATCTTCCATGTGGGTTCATGGGCAGAGCTCCTCAGCGGCTCCAACAAAACGGCTAGGAGGGCACTTGCCAGGAGGCGAGTGAGGCTCGCCGATGGGGGAGAGGCAATGGGGCAAAAGCACAAAATCTATCCGTGTTTTTTCTTTGAAGGCCTGTTTGGAACCCAGGAAGCCTGCAAACATGATTCAGGGCAAGCAGGTTGCGATCTCTTGCACGAAAGAATGTTTTTGGCTACTTGTAAAGATTCTTGGAAGTGGACAGGCCCCTTTCCAGTTTCGCTTTTGACAAGGAGTCTCCTTAAGCTGGTAGACTAAACGTCCTGTTGGCAAGAGCGCAAGCTTTTTCTAGCCAGTGTGGTATGCACAGCTTCGGGCCAGGAGAACCAACCCAATCAATCCAAGCCAATCCAAAGCCAATTCAAACCACCAATTTCGGGTAGGGCAAATTGGAGTATTGGGTAACCAAAGTTGGAGCTTGGGCGAAGCCGGGTGCTTTTTGCTTCTGCAGCCCTTTGGCTGAATCATGTCGCTACGGGAGTGGCAGCAACGGCTTTTGGACTTGGCGCAGGAGGGGATCACAGATGAGTCGCTGATTCTTCGACTACCCCACATGTGAGGTGTCTCCTGATCCAGCGATGTTCTTCACAAACCTTAGATGCATCATACTCCCTTCGCATTCTCCAGTTTGAGCATGCTCCAACCAATGGACGGCTCGGCTTTTGAAGACTCGCTGGGATTGTTCTTCATTTTCGTGGTCGCTGTCATGTTTCAAGGGGACTCCCGGCCGCATGGAAATCAGGTTCTAGGAAGGTCCTCTAGGCTAGGAGCTTCCATGGAATGCCAGGGTAAACGGCTGCATCATTGAGGGCGATGTCTTTTTGGTGTGGTTCTAAACGGAAAGGAGTGAAAGCCAAGAATATTTCGACTCCTGGAGAAATCCTTGGATGCGATCAATGGCAACCAGAAGTTTTGCAATTCTCCCAGAAGAACACCGAAAGTGGATGCGTCCTGTTGGTTTCTCTTCCAGACCTTCTAGTTACCGAGCGATTCGGCTGGACTCTGTTTGGGAAGACCATGTTGGCAAACAAACAGTCTGGACGTTTCTGGCAAATCCGCTGGAAGTGAGTCAATACCCCCCGCGATTTGTTGTTCAAGAAGGGGGCCCTGCGGGTCAAACCCAAACCCCGAGTGTTTATGGGCCTCACAATGCAGGTGACTTAACAAAGGGTCCCAACAAGTTGTTGTGTTCGTGGTGTTAGGCTGAACACCTCCAAATCCGAAGTTTCAACTTTTGAGGGGATGGGAAGGCTGCTTGGGTCCAAAATGTTTAAGCGTTTCCCATTGGGACAGGTGGTTCATATGGTAGAGGTTGAGGGCCTTCACCTCAATCCGATTGTTGGTTGGGCTTTCTGCTGGATTGGTTTGGGGATCTGAACGAAACGGACTGGGGAAGGTAAGCGCCAATCCAAACCAACTGGAGCAATCAGAGAGCTCTGTGTAGATGTCTGGATTTCCTTGCCGGTGCTCAGCAGGGAATGAGGGAATCAAGCATTTCGGGATTCCCGAATAAAAGAGTTCCCGAGTCAGGGATGGCAAGCACAGGTCATTCCATTTCTCAGGGCCCCTGCCTATCTCGCAAACCAGCGAGTTTCGATTGAACCTGGGGATTCCCTTAAAGGACACCCTAGGGGATGGTTTAGTTCGGGGTCATTCCATTTCTCAGATGCACCCTGCCATCTCTCGCTCGCAAGCAAGTGTGGAATGGCTGTGGGTCAAAAATCGGTGCCCCAAATGTAACCCGTGGAGACATGGACCAACACCTGCGGTCCAATTCCTGGTGGTTTAATTTTGACCCATGGCCATATGCCCGTACCCCCCGTGAGCATCCCAATCCAACCACTTAGGTTCTAGAATGGGTGGTGAATTCATCTACCAACCAACATGGGATCAACCACAACGGTTTTGACAACCACAGCCATCTCTCGCAGGAGCAGCATGAGGCCTGGATGGATGCGCTGCAAGCCATGGAGGCCGAGAACAACTGCGAAGCAGGGCTGAGTCTCAGCGCCTTGGTGTGCACCTCCGTGCCCAAGCCGCTGGAAGAGGCGGGAGAGAACTCCCACTGAAAGTAGAACTTTGTCATCTGACTTTCAGTCCCTACCTGAAGCTGGGTGGTTCTCAAGCTTAGGGAGCCCTTGCGTGGTGTCCGTTGGTTTCGCTTGAAACTAGCCAAGAAGCGGCCGGCGGCCTACTATTTTAACACAACCCAACTGGGTCCCCAAATCGATGCATTTGACCAACGGCAACATCGTGTTTGTCAGATCAGACTCCGTGTAAAGCAGGTGGTTTTTAGATGTGTCCCTTGAGGAGCCTGAGCAACTATGTGTTTTCAATCCTTTGCAGGTGCTTTCAGTTCAGTTTTGTGTAGACCAGTGAAACGTGTTTATCGCGTGGACGCTTAGATTGCTGAAGCTAAAGGTCCTCACTTCCAAATTTCTGGACAGCAAAGGTGGGGGGTCGAAGACGATGTGGGTGAACAAAAGGTTGACTTGTTTGGCCAATCCACTCAGGAAGTGAGCCCCAAAGCATGCAACTTTTAGCTGGGTTGTTCAATGTTTCAATTCTTTGGCCATGTGCCAAGAGAGGGTAGGAGTTCGAAAAGGGGAGTTCGTCAAAAGGGCCCCTAAACCATGACTACCCTCCCTCCCCATGGCACCTGACAGAGAGCCCCTTGAGGAAATTGAGGTGCCGCGTTCGTGTGCGGCAGGGTGAAATGTTCAAAAGGGAGCAAGTGCACCCCAGCTCGGGAATCGAATCCCAACGACAAGTCTTAGGTGCATTTTGCTTGGATGTTAGAACTAAAAGTTGAACTTTTAGCAGGGGAGCAGAAAGCAACCGAGAAGCAAGTCCCTGCAATGGCGAGATTTTTGCCAGTGCCAAAAGGGGATTCGGCAGCGGAGTCGAGAGGAGCCGACACAGAGCCCCTGGGAGCTGCTCTCGCCAAGGAGCCATGGCCAGAAAGGCGCCCCCGAAATACTTCCATCCACGCTGAAAAGTATTTTTGTGTGTGTCTCTGGTTTTTCAGGGAATCGATTTTGCTACTGGGCATAGTTTCTCCTTTTTGTCCAGGGGGCGAAAAAGCAAATGGAGGAAGACTTGCTGGTGTTCAGTAGCTAGGGAAGCACCTTCCGAGTCCGGGTGTTGGGATTGAATGAAGCGGTTTTGGGGATTCCCCGAATGAACGAAACCAGAGGATGGATGGTTTAGTTCGGGGTGATTCCATTTCTCATTCCCTGCTGAGCAACTGCAAAAATACCATGGGCTTTGAAAAGTCGGCCCAGCTCAGTTGCGCTTCCTTTTCTGTTTCCCCAGTGGTGTCCTCACTAAAAATTGCAAATTCCAAGAAGAGCTCCCTTTTTCCACCATCTGGGAAGGGGGAACCTCACAATGGCAATGGTTTCCTCGTGGCTCCGCAAGAAAGAACAACTCGAAATGGTACCGCTGGTGTTTGGATGTGCCCTTTCACCGTGAAATTTCTCGGTTGGTGATTGGCTCACCTCCAAAGTTGTTAGTTGCGACTTGTTGGGACCATTTGGGTGGCAAACACACCGGATCGGATTCGAGGAATGAGTCAGCACCATCCCTGGAAGTCGGGTCCCTCAGCGTTGTCCACGCACTGTCAGTCCCGGAAAGCCCGGGCCGGCTGTCGAACAGCCGGCGATCCTCGCAATCCACCGGTGTGCAGTCGCTGATGGCTGGCAAGCCTCCTTCACATCACCTGGTGACCTGAATTTCTACTTAGTTTACTTGTTCAAGCTGTGCTTTTGACTTATGTATGGGCCTTGTTACAGTTTGGTGTTTTTGTTTCTTTAGGGTATCGTTTTTGACTGTTGGTCTTCTTGACTTCTGCCTTCAAGGCTTTTTGTGCCTTGTTGACGTGTTGCCTTGACTTTTGAGACTTTTTGGTGTTCCTCCATTTCCTCCTTGAACCAGCCATAGGTTTAAGTCGGATTGTGGCCTTCAGGAAGATAGGATGGACAAGCTCAGCGCCATCATGGTGATGGTGAACTGCGTTACTATGTTATTGGAGCTGGAGATGGAAGGGAGAATCATCGGGGTGAATATCGGAACCTTGCTTGCCCAAAGCATGTTTGTGTTGTGCCCATCTTTTTTTCATGTCCAGGGACCCCTCTTTACAGCAAGAACGTAGCTGTAGGGATGGCTCACGGTGTCAGCTTTGGGTTTTCCATTCCCATGGTCGTCTTTTAGTAGGGCTCCTTAAAAGATACCTTTTGACCATTTGAACATGGCTTTTTCCACCAAAATAAAAGAACACCACCATTTACAAGGCAATGTTCAGGTGTATAATGTAAGGATCCATGTTTAGTCAAGGCCCCAAAAAGTTGCGTCGCCTTTTCCAGATCCTTTGGGCAAGTGAGGAATGGTCAGTGCCAACGAGAATGCTCTTGCCGGTGCTTCCCTACCCGTCCTGCAGTACCTTCAAGATGTCCGTGCGAGGTGATTGTTTGTTCGCCCTTGTTTTCAGAGGAGCAAATATGGATTTGCCATGAGTGGTTTATCTTAGTTCTTTCTATTTCTATAGTTCTTTCTTGGCATGGGAAACGCAAGGTACATCGACCTGGGCTTGCTGTTCTTTTTCCTGGTCGAAACTCTGGTCCGGCTGAGCCTTCAGCACCTCCAGTTCTTCACCGACCTCGCAAACATCTTCGACCTGTTCCTGGTGGTTTCTGGCATCCTTGTCCGACATTCAAGGCTTTCATCCCCACCCCCGGATTTTTCATGAGTCCCGCTCCACTTCCCGTGTGGTTTCGTGGAATGGTAAATGCAGTGCAACTGCCCTTCGTGAACTCCAGCTGGGGTTCGGGATCGTGAAGCGTCGAGCTGATGGTTTCAAGGAGATCCCCGGTACCTTGGAGATTGCAATCCCACTTTTGGCATCACGGAGGAACCATTTCTCAGGGTTTCCTCTTTGCAGCCCACGGGTTTGTTTGGTCTGTTCAAAGGCAAGCTGTCCGTTTGAGGCAAACATTTGTCAGGCTTGTGCAGGTGTTTCCCAAACCGTCGGAAGGAGCAAGGACATAGATGTTACCCAGTCTCCCCAACTGCTACATAACCCTTAACTTTTTTGGTGTTGAACAAGTTGTTTAACTTTCCCAGACCTCCTATTAACACCCATTGTCATCTTGCCGGTCTCGGTTTGGAAACCTGTCTCAAACTTCAAAAGTAAGCCCAAAGGCGGATTCCTTCAGGTGCCGGGAAAACACATCTTTGGATCAATCGTCGCAGATTTTGAAGCAAGGCATCGTGGATGCCTCTGCAAGCGGCTTGCTGAGCCCTCACAGTTCTGGCAGCTCTGGTTGGCGTTTGGTCAGAGCCCTCAAGGCCCTCCGTGCCTTTCGAATGGTCAGACGCCCAATTTGCAACCAGGATGTGCTCTTTCTTGTTCTTTTTCTGAGTGTTCTGTTGATGCCGTTGCTGTCGCTGCTGCGGCTGTTGTGGTTGCAGCGTTTGGTAGTTGATGGTTGGCTTGCCTTGCCTTTTGGTTGGTTGGTTGGCTGGCTGGCTGGCTGGCTGGCTGGCTGGTTGGTTGGTTGGTTGGTTTGTTGGTGGGAAGGTGGGTTGGTGGGTTGGTGGGTTGGTGGGTTGGTGGGTTGGTGGGTTGGTGGGTTGGTGGGTTGGTGGGTTGGTGGGTTGGTGGGTTGGTGGGTGTTGGTTGGCGGACGGTTGGCGGTTAGTGTTGGGGAGGTTCCCCATGAGAGCTTCCCATCCGAGGAAGCTTCCGGCTCTTCCGAGGGCTAAGGGTGTTGGTGCAGGCCTGCCAGTGCTTCCTGCCCTCCCTGCTGCTGGGCCAATTTCAGGCTGCCCACTTTTTCAGGACCGCCCCTCCATTGTATTGACACATTCCCGCCCTAGTTGGGGACAACCGGCATATTTTGAACAAGCGCGATTGAGTGCAGGGTTTTGCGAGCGTGTGCCGGCTAAACAAGAAACAAGTTTTGGTGGTTTTAGGCAACTTCGCGAACAAATCCAGATGTAGGAAAAGGAAGTTTAAAACAAGAATTCTCAGGAAATTCATGGAGAATGTATCTCCCGGGATTGCTCCTTTCAGATTGTAAGAAGATTATCGGGGCACATCTATCAAAGCTGGTTGCCCAAAGTCCCAAAACACCACAAATCGAGACTTGCTTGGGATTGCCGTAGCTGGCTGTAGGGTGGCCGGTTTTTAATCCTACCGAGAGTACCTTTGGATAACTGCTGTGCCCTGCTGAAGCTTGGGATAAATCACACCTTGGCAGCTTGGATTGGTGTGCCTTGGCTGAACCCGCAGTCCCAAAGTCCCCAATCCAAGCAACCACCCAACAGAACTACGTGACCCCAAGCACCCCGTACAAAATCACAAACCCAGAGCCGTCAAAAGCACAAACCCAGAGTTGCAGCCCAGTGCGTACTTTATTCCCAATCATTCAGTAAGAATTGAGGGAATTACGCCATCTTTCAAGTAAGGCCTTACTCCCCGTAAAAATGCCCACAAGCCTTCTGGGGGGTCAAGAGTTAATTCGCGGCCTTAAACATGCTTTCAGATACCTGTTTCACATGTTGCCAGCAATAGAACAGAAGATCATTTTGGAGGAGACGCCTGAAAACAACATCTGGAGGTTGTCCTTGGGCTGCGCACGCAAATCAGGGAAACAACAGCTGTTGGTTTTTCGGGGGTCGCCCAAAACTCCTAGAAATCGCTTAGAACGCCCACCCACGCCCACCCACGCCCACCACGCCCAACTACCAGCAAACCAGAACGGCTAGGAAAAGGCAAGAGAATGAATCTCCAGGTCTGGTTTGACCAAAGTCATAGCCGGTGCTAGCCTGCTTCGGCATTGCTGGAGCCTTCCAATCTCAGGGGTCCTGATATGTTCTTTGACGTTTCAATCGTCACGGGTTCATGGCCTTAAATGGAACCATGTTTAGTTTGGGGAGGTATGGCTGATATGCCCGATGTTCGCCGCTCAGGTTTTGGTCCATGTTCATGCTTGGGATTTTCATGATCATCGGCGCCCTGCTCATGGGAAATTTGCTGCAAGGATTCTTAGAGGAGCCGGAAGGGCTCTTGGAAGACAGGCAGTGGATCTGGCTGCGCTACGGCACCGCCACTTGGCTAAAAGTCGGGTCTCCTCCAAACTGATTTCATATGTTTGTGGTAGGGTGTCCCGGTCCACATCCATTCAGGAGGGCCCTTTCTACTCATTCCCCACCATTGGCCGGTAAAAGGAAAGCATAAAAGAAACATCCCGAATAACCAGAGCGATCCTCATGATTTTCGGTTGGGTGGGTATTGCTTTACTTAGCTCGAAACATGAGAAGGCTCCTGTGACGCTGAAGCTGTAGATGCAAAGAGGCCCATTTGCTCGGTGCAGCGAACAAAAGCACGGAGTCGCAAGGAGGTGCCAACGTGCCAAAGGAGCAAGCTGCTTGCCTGGTTGCAGGTAGCTTTGCTATACCTCCTGTCACGCAAAAGCGCTGCAGACGAGACATGGGCCGATTTCGCCGGCGGACTTGAGTTCAGTTTCCGGATGTTTTTTTCCTTTGCTCGAACGAGCGCAGCAAGAGACGTGAACATGAATTGAGGGTCAGCTAGCGCAAGAAGCCGACATGAGCAGTGAAGAAGGCTGATCTCGAGTTGAGAGGGTTGCCTAGAAGCATGGCGGTTTTTGCTTCATTAAATTACTTTTGGTCAGAAGCAGCCAGGTTCAGATTGCCACTCGCTGAGAACTCTTGGAAGAAAGTTTAAACGGATTTTCCATGGGACGGCAACAAATTGAAAGCAAGCACTCTGACAGAAGACAAGAGAAGAGTAAGCACAGAAAACGTACGCGTGTGGTGGGGGAAGAGCCCTTTGCGGGTTCAGTTTCTTCGGGTGCTCCGGAGCGCAGGCCCATTGGCATTATGCCGTGTGCTTTTTGCGATACTAAATTGTGTGTTAGGCGGAG